TCCTTCCCAGCCTCCTCTTCCTCCCACCCACCCCCCAACCCTTCAGCTGCATGCACAGTTGCAATAATCACACTAGGAACCTCTCCAGAATGTGTGAGTACCTGTGCCATCCTAGCCTAGTTTTTCCCACTTCGCGTGGTCTCTTTGGAATAATCCATACAAGTGTTTCCACCATTGTAATTTATACACAATTGGCCTCTCCGTGCCCCATTTTCCACCCATTGCAATCCCTGCCACCAGAAATGGCCGAAAATGGGGTGCATGATAGCTGAAAATGGGGCACCCAGAGGCCGAAAATGGGGCACAGGGAGGTGGAAATAGGCTATGGCAATCCCTGCAACCAGAATCAGCTGATGTCGACCCAACCAACAATCAGTGCTAATCAGGGCTGTGCTGAAATGGGCTGTTTGCTGTTTGTTGCAAGGAGGCAAAGGCAGAATTTTTTTTCTCATACTAAACAGTCTATGGTAAAATTGAAACTGAAACAGGCTGTTTGCTGTTTGCTACAAAGAGGCAAATTGCTGGGAGGCAGATTTTTTTTTCTTGTTTTCCACCCCAGAAGTTAGGTGTGTCTTATACTCTGAAAAATACGGTATATAAAAACAATTGTTAAAAAACAGACCATACAGCCATTTTGTACTGGATAGATAGAACTGTCTCACAATATCTTTGGTTTCCTGGGACCCCCAAGCCTGATGACAAAGCCACATTTTCAGGCGATTTTGGAACATTAAAAGGACTTGTCAATCAGTCCTTGGTTGTTATCCTTCTTTACATATATAATATGGGCTTGCATCATTTGCTCTCAATTCACCACCCTCAGAAAAGCCTCAGAGAAGACTCTTCCTTCTCTTATTTGGCTTTTCCATGGAACTGCTTGCTACTTTGTTGGAAGGAAGGAAACTATGGTGAACTATGAGGAAAAATGCACCTCTGCCCTCTATTCTGGCATATCCCCAAGAACCCCTTCTCTCACCCATCAACTGCCAGTGCCCCTTGGCTAGCCGTATTTTGTCAGCAGGCATCTGAATTGCTTTCTTGTTCTTCCCTCACAAGCCATTATCATTAAGATAATTCAAATTTCGGCCTAGATTTCAAATCAGGCAATGGTGGCTTGCCCGTTAGGCCTTGTTGCCTGGTGATTGGTCACAGCAATCACCAAAAGGAAGGAGGAAAAATTGTGATATGCACCTGTTACCTTCCCTTGCTCCATGCAATCTACAAGGTTCTGGGAAGTGTAAGTGGAAAGCAAATTTCGATCCTACTGAGGTCGTAGCTGCTAGATTTTGGATGCATTCATAAATTAGCACATTTGAGATATATTGATTCAAGATTGTTGTTCTAAAATGCCTTGTTTCACCCAATTGAAGGTTACAAAGTAACAGACACAAGAATTTAACTAATATAAAGACTTACTTACTAAACTTACTTCAAGGGGGAGAATGTTCCATAAAATAAATGCCATGGCAGAGAAGGGCAGTCTTCTGGGATCTGCCAATTGTAAATCCCTGGCAGATGAGACCTGAAGCATACCGCCTCTGCCAAAACAAATGGGACAGGCAGATGTAATTGGGCAGAGGTGATCCCTTAGATCACAGCTGTCAAACTCCCGGCCCATGGGTTGGATGTGTTCATGTGCTGGCCATGCCCACTCCTGGTTTAGAGAAGGGGAAAAAAGTCCCAATACATCACGTGATGTCGCTGTGACGATGTGAGTTTGACACCCCTGCCTTAGATAAATGCATTCCATGCTATGAAAAGCTTTAAAGATAAAAACCAGCATCTTGAATTGGACTCAGAAAGAAACTAGAAACCAAATGCTTCTGGATACTCTTTAAGAGTGAAATTAATTTCATTTGATTTCATTTATATTAAAATTGAAACTAAATATAATTTATTTAATTTCTGTCTGGTCATATATTTTAATACAGGTAGTCCTTGACTTACAACAGTTAATTTAGTGATCATTTGATGTTACAATGGCACTGAAAAAAATGACTTATGACCATTTTTCACACTTATGACCATTGCAGCATCATATTCATGATGATCATAAAATTCACTTAACAACTGCCTTGCTGAGCAATATGCTGGGCTCAATTGTGATAATAATTTGAGGTCTACTTATATTTTTCTCCTCTCACAATATAGTATTATAACTGGATTACATATTTCAAAAGCCTCTGAAGACTCATCCACATTTTCTGAAGAGTGTGTGTAATCCTGGGGCCTTGGTATAGTTGTTCTGATTTATGATATTATACAAACCACAGTTAAATAAATCATGGCTTAATACAATGTATGGACATCTATGTTACTTAAACTATATTCCACTATTTCATTTCCACTTTCTATCCATGACAGTTCTGCCCCCAAATATTCCATAAAATAATATTACAGATTCAATAATCTAGCCTGTTCAGCATAGATTGTCCTATTCATGTTAGCGGTTGCAATCACTCACATCAAAACCAGTTACATCTGACAATCTTCTGGGAGATAAACCAATTTGGGTGCAATTCCAAGAATTCTCAGAGTGCTCACATGCACTGTTATTAAGATGTGATTGCCAGACCCCAGCGGTCCACACCAAAGTGAATTCTTTTTATCTTGTAATTTCTTGCCCTTTTACCATCTCCTCCTCTGAAACAACCAGCAACTACTGAAAACTGAGAGGATTTTATCTATAGTACATGCAAATCAAACAGCTTTCTTTTGACTATGACATAAAATTTAAGTTACCTTGAATATATTAAAAAATTGTAAGAACAACAATAGGGTTGAATGTTATCTGGTCAGCAAAGTTTATAATCTAAGGTTTTACAAAATCGGAATACTAAAAAGCAATTTAAAAACAGTTTACTATTTGATTGCAAAGCCTTCAGAATAATCACAGTCTACTTGACTACTCAAAATATCTCCTGTCTGAAACATCTCCTGCCTCCTCTGTTCATAAGCTGATCAAGGCTGCACATAGTTCAGCCACTTCTTTCTTAGCCAACTTCTCTAGCTGATTTGAGTGCCTTTGAGAAAATGAAACAAAGCAGAAAACCCACAGAAGCATATGTCCATAAAAAAGCAAGCTTCAAGCCTTTGCATAGAAATCTGTGGCTAGCATGCTGTTGCTAGGAGACAACCACAGCAAATTCTCTAGTGGCCAAAGTGAACGACAGTGTAAATGCTTCCTAGTGGCAATCTTGTGTTCCATAAGACTTTGAAAACTTGGCTTTCCTCTCAGGCCTGGGGGAGGGCATGATTGTTGACCCCTGCCAGTTTTGGGGAATTTGTATTATTATATTGTAGGTTTTTTCACCTATCTATTTAAGAGGCACTTTGCAGTGTTATTTTTCTTTTGCTTTACAAGATTGAGAATTTTAATATAATATGTAAGCCATGCAGAAATACTTGAAGTCTAGCGGCCTCTAAATCTTACAAAATAAATATGTACAGTAGGTAAATAAACAAATAAATACACCTGGACACCCTCTAGTGGCCAGATTGAATAGCAACATATTTGGGAATTGATGCAAGTTAAATTCAATTCAAATGAGGTGTGTCACACTGTTGGTAAGTAACTTAGTAAAATTCCATCTCCCAAAAGCTTTACAGCAGTGAAATCCAAAACAGAGATTAAGATGTTCTGCCAGGCCAAAGAAAAACAAAAATTAAAAAAGGATCCATGCTCAAAACAAGTCTGGAAGAGCCCAAGAAAGGAAAGAAAGCCCAAAGAAAGCAGAGAATGCTATAAACCAGGACAATTCTTCAAGGCTGAGATCAGCCTAGGCAGAATGCTACAACCAGTAATGCAATTCTTAGACATCTCAATGAGCAAGCATTGAAGTACACAAACACCATCCCACAAATTCTCCAACAAATTCCACATTCCCAGGAAGAAAGACTGACAGTTAAATCTGCCCTCTCTTCTCATGTCTCAAAGTCCCCAGGACTTTCTGAGCATATCTGCTACTCTGGGCAGTCCACATGCTCAAGTAATACTGCATTCTGTATTACTTGTATAGACAGCAGAGGCAGCATCTAATCACAAATGTGGTGAGTTCAATAAAATGAAAGTCCCACTTAGAATTGGGAGAAGCACAATCAGGTTCAGAAGCAGTTGAAGAAAAAGCACTGGTGGAATGAAAGGCAGCTAAAATGAAGACGCATCTAGCAGCCCAGAAAGAAAAAGAAAGCGGCCCAAACAACATTTGAGAGCTGGAACACATTGCTGTCAAATGCTCACACAACTACCATACCAACCCATAGTCATTGAAACATGATAGAACAACAATCAGAACCAGAGGGATTAGAATATCTCAGTATTGTTAAAATGGAATTGTTTTCACATATTGAACTAAGGAGTCAATTATGTTTTGGGGCTTTATTAAACAATTTCACAATTAAAATAAAGTAGCAGTGAACTTCTGTGCCTGCTGTGTTCACTAATTTATTATTTTGAATTTGTAAATAATTGCATGTAAATAATAACCATGCATTCAGATCTGCAGAAATATGTAATGTTTAGCACTATATGATGTAGGAATGGTGTCAGTTTCTGTTAGGGACTCAAGGAAACTCTTTGATCAGGAATCCCTAAACTATCTTATTAAATTTAGGTAATAAAAACATGTAACTGATGGAATTCTTCAAATTTTAGCTTGAAAATGATCTCATGATTTCAGAATAACCACCAAACCGGAAAAGCTATTGAACGTAACTACATAGGTGAATGCAGCTGAGGAAATGGATACTTACAGACTTAAGCAAATAACACTAATTATGTATCTTCTACTTTCTCTTATTTGAAGTTACATAAATGATGAAAATACACAGCTTATACTTTTTGTATATGTCAAACACATTTATTAAAAAACCTTTTCAGAAAAAAAAATCAGCTTCAAATTCAGACAAAGGCAAATTCCCTCAAAATGCGTCTGAGGCCCTTCTTATCAATAGGCCAGAATATTGCCGAACTCTAAAGCAGCATCACTTTTTACTCTCACCTTTGGCCATTTTATTGAGAACCATATCAATTAGGATGTAGGTTCCAGTTCTTCCTGCACCATCACTATAGACAATGAGAAAAAATCTAATTAATTCAATGTGCACAAAATCCTAACAAAATTAGAGTTTATCTTGATATGATGTAAATATAAGTGGGGGACTAACTTGTGATGGAGGAGCACATCATAAATTAGATAATAGTGACTGAAAAAAGCTTCTCTAAAAATGAACTATTCATACATGATTTCTTGGTTCGAATAAATAATTTTTTTCTCTAAAGACAAAAATAAACCTTTGAGAAGAGTGTTATTTAATATTTTACTCAACACAAATAAGTATTGAAACCTGCATGCATAATGAAAAGCTGTTCAACTTGGTCCATAAGAAAAACCAAATAGAGGAAAAAGCATTTTCCCCAAATGATAGCTCTCTTTAAATTTCCAGGAACTTTCCTGGCTTTGCAAGCTGACCTGCTTCTCCTCCTGCTGTGAAAAACCTTTTGTTATTTAAAGGGCATATTATTCTTCACGGAGAAATTGGATACTAGCCACCTGAGCCTAGAAAAAGATATGGCTAGCTACTTTCTTCTTTTCATCTCTACAGAAAAACTGCTGCAATTAAAAAAAAAGATGCTATTCATATTCTGTACATTGTTTTTAACCTGCTCAGGGCATTACTGTTCAGGAATGACAACAAAAATGGAGATTTGTCATAGAAAGTATAAATATGTCAAGATTTGTAATCTGAATACTGTCTTCACTGCCTTCAAAAGAGACCAGCTTTTATCTGGAAATGTGATTCCTTTTGTATCTCTTGTGAGCAATCATTATTAAGATTTCAGCAATTTTCCTTTTGTTCTTCTCCCCACTTTCTAACCTATTATGGGCTTTTTGACAATACTTCCATGAAAGAGAATGAGTCATTGGAAGTGATTTCTCATTTTAATATTTCTTAACATATAGAAGGTTTTGAGGCATTGCAGAAAGAAAAAAGATATGACAATAATAGTGAAATGTTGTGTTCAATTTGAGCGAAAAGTAATTTCCTGTATCAGATTAAACAACCACAGAATGATACTTGAATGTCACTACAAAGGGGACTCAAAATAAATAAAAAATGAAAACAAAGAGACATTTTTGTTTATTAAAATAATAGACTTGGTCATAATAACGTACATAAACTTTAAAAAACCCACATGCCTGTGCCTATAAAAATCACTTACATGATAATTCTAATGCATTTTTGTAAATAATGTGATTCTTGGATTAAATATTCAACCTGCACATTCTGTGATAACCCAAAATATATACATTATTCTTTTAGGAATCCATTTTTCAGCTGGGTAATGAAGTATTTCTTATTGTCATAAAGAATGACAAAAGTTATTTTACCACCAATTTATTTCTATCTATCTCTACAGAAAAATTGCTGCAATTAAAAAAAAGATGCTATTCATATTCTGTACATTATTTTTAACCTGCTCAGGGCATTACTGTTCAGGAATGACAACAAAAATGGAGATTTGTCATAGAAACATTTTCATAATATAAAAAGAAGTAGTTTCTTCTACTTCTTCAAAGTTTGTTAAACTGTGTGGCAAAACAGCCTCAGAAGATAAGGCCAGTCTGAATTTTCTACAAAACATAATTGTGAATAAATCACAATATACATATACATGTAATTATGCCTTATTATTGCACTATGAACAAAAAAATATGAAGGTTTTAAAAAAATGCAATTCAATAACAGAGATGAAAAGGGGTAAGTATTTTGGCAGTAGTATAATCCTATGCATATTTACCAAGAAGTAAATTCAACTTGACTCAATACTCTTTTTGCCCATGCAAAAATATGTACAATTGCAGTATTTATATGCTACATATTACTAAAAAGAAACAATTTCTGTAGTGGTTAAGGTGAGAGCTGAACATTAGTTTTAGATAATTTAAGATAAATCTCTTCTTAAGGCATCAGTCTATACATGAGAATTGTCAAGATTTTCTGTATTTATAAGAAACTCATAGCAGCAGAAAATATGAATGAAGTAGTCAGAATTATAATGCATTTAATTTGATTATTTAATAAATTAATGTACAAAGCTATTAATCTGTCAGTTATATATATGTATATTAAAAAAAATTATACTTGCCTGCAATGTACAACTATTGGACAAGAACGGCCCCTGTAGCACTTGTTTATTTTTCTGCAATAAAAAAACAAAGATGTTGTTAAATATTAATATTTATCTAAAAACATAATACTTTTCAGGAATCATAAAAAATTAAGTCCTAAATACATATTTATTAAAATAATAGAATAACAGGTGTAATCTTTAAAATATTATCCTGGCACAAGAGTAACATGAATTAGTAAAGGTGTTTTATAATGCTTACAGAATTTTAATCTAGATTAATTTGTTATCAACTAAATCCTTCATTTCATTTTCACTGCTATTTAAATTATTGTAGAGCTTGTTTAGATTTGGTTAGCACAATGTATGAACTCAATCATTGTGGATTCTAAGCTATATGCAAGTTTTAATATTATGTGTGACATCAGGCTTCTTCAACAATAAAACAAATTTTTAACTTAGCATGATTTGTGATGCCAACACACAGAATCATAATTTCCTCACAACCTTAAATACCATGTTATTCCAAATGTTCCTTGTCTGTAGTATATTCTCCTGAATTGTTGAACGAAAGACAGTATGTGTTCTTAAACAGCAATAAAAAAGTAATAAAAAGGGTGCTTTCCTTTTCTTCTGCATTTCCTACATTAGTAATACAAATGACAACAATTCTGGCTTTGGTTAAAGTGTGTATTAACAGTTCACTTTCAGCTCTGAAGCAGTATTAACAGAGTTCTGCTTCAAAAGCTAATACAGTTTCACTGAGAACTTTTGCTTTGAAAGGTGATACATATGTTCCTAAATAAATCAATGCTTAAAAGCTACTGCCTTAGGAATATATTTCTTAATTCACAGGATAATAAATACCCCCATCCCTAATTTTGCATATAATAACTGCTAGATTTATATAGTACATTTTATTTTCTGATCTTTTCAAATATACAAACAAATATATTCGGAGACTTTAAACACCTCAAAACAGAATTTCAGTGTGGACACAAACACATGCATGCACACTCAATATTTTATAGGCATAATTCAAAATATTGTTTTTAGCTAAAAATTCCTAAATGACTTAGATATTTTATTATTCCCCTTTTATAGGTATACGTATACGTGTAAATTTACACATGCACACGTATATGTCTAGCAAGTAGTACCAGATTTATTTTTTGTAGAAATCTTTTCTGTGTAAAATAAATATATATTTCCCTGTTTCCTAATTTGAGAATAACTGCCTCTAAGTAAAAAAAAAATGGAATTAATCAATTCACATTTATTCCAATTCATGATTGAAAAAGAATCATTAGCTTGAAAAAATCAGGAAAGAATTAACTCAAACCAGCATTAAAATTCTAATGATTTACAAGTTTATATAAAGAATATAACAAATCAATCGTTTTTCTCTGATTTAAGTATCTTCAGTTAAAGATAGAGAAGACAGAGTGAGAAGTAGCTGTGTTATGATGAATAGGAGGAAGAAGAACACCTTAGGGAAAGCTCAAGACCTGACGTCCAAAATTCATTTTTGATGAGAATAAGGAGCATAGAGTTAGACATCAGAATGGAATAAAAATAAAACTGTATAAATCATGCATAACTATGCAGGAAAATAATTTAGTGCCAAATTGAAGAAGCTATGTAACACTTTGAAGCGAATGCAATAGTAACTGATGCTGGCCCTTAATGACAAGTATAACATTTCAGACAAAGGCTATATAGAACAATAGTTTCCTGAGCTGGGTTCAGGACATGTCAGAACAAAGAAAACAGATTTCCTGTAAACTGATAGGTAAACTGTGGAGTCATTTGGTGGTCCTAATTTAAGATAGTTCATTTGCTCATATGAAAGGATTTTTTTTTAAAAAAAAAACTGCCTGTGAGATTATAGGACAATCTCCTCTGTGCCATTGTGGGAAGGAAATCATCCCATTCAAGTAAACATTCCCTTCCGTATACTAGAAATTCCACCCATTAAAAAAACAAATGTACTAGTTACCATCTTTAAAGCCCAATATGGCAAAAAGCTGGGCTACCTGTGGGAGCACCTTTCCCTAAGGATACTTACCTGTCCTAGATAAGGTGGGCACATTTCTGGTTTCTTTTCCCCAAATACTGCCATCTAGTGGGAAACAGGAAACATGCTTTTCCTGTGCCAGCCCTTGCCCTGTGGAATATTTTGCTCCTTGAAGTTTGGCAGGTGTTTGTCTTCCTAGCCTTCTGTAAAGTGCCTGCCTTCTAATCCAAGCATTTGGAAAAGACAAGATAATCACACATCACTGTGGATTGATGCCAAGTTTTTTTTAAAATTATTTTATGTTTTAGAGTTTTTAAAATGATTTTATTAGAAGCTACCCAGGTTGTCTTAAATACGGGCGGCTATATAAATGTTTTAAATAAATAAACAAACAAATAAACAAAACCTTCCTCTTTGTGACTGCCACATCTACCTGCGATTTTAACTAAACAAAAAGCCAGTTGACATGGACTTCCGGTTGTTGTTGTAGTGGGATTGGTCATATGGGGCAGGTCTCCATGCTCTCATTCTGAGTTCTCTCTGTCGGTGGGCTCTGAAAGGAGCCAAAGCTGCCCTATAGGGGTGATGAAGCAAAGAGGGGCACCCTGTGAGGTTGCGGAGAGCCACAGCTCTCCTGTCTGATGTAGGATTCTTTTTCCCTCTTAACCACAGTGAGGAGAAGAGGCAGCCTAAAGATGCCACAAAGTTAGGAAACCGAGGAACAACTAAGAGTGATGCTGGAGTGAAGTAGGTGAACAGTGACTGAAACTGGGGGAGAGGATTCCTTTTTGCTTAAAACCTACCCCAAGGGATAATTTAGAACTATTTGTTCAGAACTATTTGTTAAAGCAGTGATTAAGCATTCTGAGAAAAACACTAGAACTGAAGGAAAAGATGCAAAGAGAGGAAAACAATAAATCTTTAAAAACAGAAAATTGGACTATTAAACTGGGAAGACTTGGAAATGTGAAGGCATTTTAAAATGCTAGAATTATCTATTTAAAAAAATTATCCCATTTTGATAATTGAATTACCATTAATTAAAATTATATTGATTAGTGGCAACACAGAAGTTTAAGTTGAGAGCGCCACCTGATGACGAAAGGAAAATATGTAAGTCTGGGAATACTTATATGAATTGAGAAAATATTTATTGGATTATATCTAACTATCTCATGACTATTGGAGACTCAAATATGAGAAAAAGGAAGTTATTTAATTAAAATGATCCCTGAAGATTGAAGCTGTAAAGGGGACATAAAGAGGCTTTTGATAACTTCTGGGACTATATAAACCGAACTGATTTAACCTATGGGATACAAAGAACTGTGATGAGTGTACTTCTTGAAAGGCAACTTTAGGTTTGAATAAGTGGTTCTAGGACTACTGGACAAAAGTAGGATTTTTAAAACCAAATAAGATGCTTCGTAAGGAATAAATGAGTGGAATTTTGAACGAGATGATGCTGATTTTCCAAAGCACAAGGACGTAATAGAAAAGGATTTAAGGAGATTATGGAAAAAATGGAAAATACTATACAAGAGATAATAAGTAAAGTTCAAGACGCCCAGCAAAGGGAGGTATTAACAGAGGAATTGGAGGAAAAGATTGAACCGAAGAACCAGTGAACAAAAGAAGACAAAGAGATAATAATAAAAATAACAGTAATTGATGAATTAAATCAGGGGGAAAACATTTTAAGAGGGTTGAAAAGAGAATTTGAGATACAGGAAGACACTTTTGAAAGGGAGGGGCCTGGGCAAATATTTTGGAAGGGGGTAGAGATGGGAGAAATACTTAGACTGAATAACCAAGAAGTAGACTGAAGATCCAAGAGAGGAATATGGGAGGCAAGTCAAAAAAAGCATAGCAACAAAGTATTGAAGTGGGCAAGAGATGATGGATAGAAAGGAGTTGTTGAGTTGCGTTTATTTATAGGCCGCCCTTTTCCCTGAGGGGAAAGAATTTCACTTTTTTGTTGATGTTCTGATTTACTTTTTTTCTTCTCTTTCTTTCCCTTCTTTTTTAGAATGGTGGCATGATTAGAAGTTAGGTAGGATAGAAAGAAAACGTCTTTTAATAAAAGAGTGACAAGATTAAAAGTTTGACTAGAGATAGAAATATGAGAATGTGGGAATATTAGTGTATATATTTTACATAATAAAAGCAACAACTAAAGGGAACCTTAGAAATTGAATGGCGCTATTATTATGTATGATTAAATAATATTGTAAGTGGCATTAGAGCAATATATTAAAACATGGAATAATTAAATAATTATAGACTATAATTTAATAAAAATGTGTATTATTATTATTAGAAATATATAACTTGGTTGAATGTAATATCTATGATCAATTTTACTAGTTCTATTTGTATTAGAATGTATGACACCCAGGTGCCACACTGTTCACGCATTGATACGTATATGTAAAACAAAACAAAACTTGAAACAAAACAAAAAAGCCAGTTGACATGGTAAATCCCCTCCCCCCAAAAACCCAGTCAGCAATGTCACACTCCAGAACATTCTTTTGGCCATCCAGCTAATTGCAGATTCTAATAATTCCTACAGGGTAGCTCTGTCCCTGGGTGAAACAGAGGAAGGGTTATCAAGTAACCATCCCAAATTTTGTAGATTACCTTTAATTACTGTGATTGTGTGCTGTGCTCTCAAATGAATTTTTGCCTCTGCTTTAACCAATTCACCCCAAGTGTTCTTTTGATAGCAATATAGCAATAGCAGTAGACTTATATACCGCTTCATAGGCCTTTCAGGCCTCTCTAAGCGGTTTACAGAGAGTCAGCATATCGCCCCCAACAATCTGGGTCCTCATTTTAATTTTAATCCTCGGAAGGATGGAAGGCTGAGTCAACCCTGAGCTGGTGAGATTTGAACTGCCGAACTGCAGATAACAGTCAGCTGAAGTAGCCTGCAGTGCTGCACTCTACCCACTGCGCCACCTCGGCTCTTAACAACCCATGTTAGTAAACTGTATGGGATTACCAAGCAGTGCAGTAGACAATTTGTTGGGTTACCACTTAGTAATGTGTT